AGTACAGGCGCCCGCCACCTCGCCCCGGCTAATTTTTTTTCGTTATTTTTAGTAGAGAGACGGGGTTTCACCGTGTTAGCCAGGATGGGTCCTTCGATCTCCTGAACTCGTGATCCGCCCGTCTCGGCCTCCCAAAGTGGTGGGATTACAGGGCTTTGAGCCACCGCGCCCGGCCGGGAAATGGCTTTTATTTTTATTTATTTTTATTTTTTTAAATTTTTTAAATTTTATTTATTTTATTTTATATTATTTTATTTTATTTTATTTTAATTATTTTAATTTTGAGACGTAGTCTCACTCTGTCGGGCCCAGGCTGGAGGTGCTTGCAGTGGCGCGATCTCGGCTCACTGCAACCTCTGCCTCCCGGATTCAATCAATTCTCCTGCCTCAGCCTCCTGAGTAGCTGGTGCATGCCACATCTGACTGATTTTGTGTTTTTAGTAGAGACGGGGTTTCGCTATCTTGGCCGGGCTGGTCTCAAACTCCTGACCTCAGGTGATTCGCCCGCCTTAGCCTCCCAAAGTGCTGGGATTACAGGTGTGAGCCAACGCGCCTGGCGCTCCTTCAACTTTTATTTAAAGTTCTGGGGTACGTGTGCAGGACGTGCAGGTGTGTTACATAGGTAAGCGTGTGCCATGATGGTTTGCTGCACAGGTCATCCCATCACCCAGGTATTAAGCCCAGCATCCCTTAGCTATTCTTCCTGGTACTCTCCCTCCCCAGCACCCCGCTCAACAGGCATCAGTGTGTGTTGATCCCCTCCATGTGACCATATGTTCTCATTGTTCAGCTGCCACTTATAAGTGAGACCATGTGGTCTCACTGGTTTTCTGTTCCTGTGTTAGCTTGCTGAGGCTAATGGCTTCCAGCTCCATCCATATCCCTGCAAAGGACATGATCACGTTCCTTTTAGTGGCTGCACCTTAGGCTATTTTCTTTGGCTTTAATGCCTGCTTTCTGTTGATTTGCAGATCTTCATTTATTCTAGATATTGATCTCTTGTTGGCTTTCAATATGACAGACAGCTTCTCCTATTCCATCAACTGTCAAGTTTGTCCGAGTCCTTCATTAAACAAAACTCCTTAATTTAAGTGGAATCAAATTCATCAAGGGACTTTTGTGGTGGAGAAGGGGTTGGTGTTTACGTTTTGTGCCTTTAAAACTTCATTTAATGCAGCCGTGAAAAAGAACCAAGATCATGTCTTTTGTGGGAACATGGACGGAGCTAGGGGCTATTATCCTTAGCAAACTAATGCAGGAACAGAAAACCAAATACTGCATGTTCTCACTTGTAAGTGGGAGCTGAATGAAGAGAACTTATTATCACAAAGAAGGAAACAACAGACACTGTGGTTTACTCGAGGGTGGAGGGTGGGAGGAAGGAGAGGAGCAGAAAAGAGAACTATTGGGTACTGGGCATAATACCTGGGTGATGAAATATTCTGTACAACAAACACCCATGACACGAGTTTACTTATGTAACAAACCTTCACATGTACCCCCAAAACTAAAATAAAAGTGAAAAAAAAAAGAAATTTCCTTTAAAGTCTTTTTCTTTTTTAAGAGCTGTATGTTGCCCTGGCTGTTCTCAAACTCTTGGCCTCAAGTGATCCTCCTACCTCAGTGTCCCAAAGTGTTGGCACTACAGGCGCGAGCCACAGCCCCCCGCCTTCAAAGTGTTTCTTGACTGCCCTGGGTCACAACAATATTCTCTTATGTTGTCTTCTAGTAACTGTGTCTCTTACCTTCACATTTTTTTCTTCGTATTTAGAGGCCACTCTAGCACGTGCTGTTGGCTAGGAAACCACTTTTATTATTCTCTAAGTAAAGAGCCATTTTCTCCAGCACCATCGACAGAACAATCTGATCTGACTTACGTGTTTTTGTTTTGTTTGTGTGTCTTTTGAGACAGGGTCTTGCTCTGTCACCCAGGCTGGAGTGCAGTGGCACAAGGACAGCTCACTGCAGCCTCAGCCTCCTGGGCACAAGCGATCCTCCCACCTCACCACTCCCTGCCCCGCCCTGAGTAGCCAAGACTACAGGCCCAGCATGCCACCACGCCCAGCTGAATTTCTGTTGTTTGTTTGTTTTGAGATGGAGTCTCACTCTGTCACCCAGGCTTGAGTGCAATGGTGTGACCTCAGCTCATTGCAACCCCCACCTCCTGGGTTCCGCCAATTCTCCTGTCTCAGCCTCCCAAGTAGCTGGGACTACAGGCACGTGCCAGCACACTCAGCTAATGTTCGTATTTTTAGTAGAGACAGGGTTTCAGCGTGTTGGTCAGGCTGGTCCCGAACTCATGACCTCAGGTGATCCAACCACCTTGGCCTCCCAAAGTGCTGCGATTACCCCCGTGAGCCACTGCACCCGGCCATTTTTTTTTTTTTTGTAGTGACAGGGTTTTGTCATGTTGCCCAGGATGGTCTCAAACTCCTGGATTCAAATGATCCACCTGCCTCGGCCTCCCAAAGTGCTGGGATTATAGGTGTGAGCCACCACACCCGGCCTCCTGTGTTGAGTTGCCATAGGTAACTGGGTCTGCCTGTTGGTTTTCTGTGCCGTTGTATCCATGGTCTATTTGCTCTGGTGCCTGTACCACATTTTTTTTTTTTTTTAAATCACTATGGTGTTATAAATCTGGTCAGGAAAAGCACACCCTCCAGCTTCTTTTTCCTTTTCTTTTTTTGACTTTTTCTTTTAACTATTTTTGGATCTTTATTCACCTACAAAAATGTGATAGTAAATGTATCAAATTTCTTGAGAAAATCCAACATTTAAAAAAATGCTGTTAAAAGCCAGACAAGGTGGCTCATGCCTGTAATCCCAGCTACTCAAAAGGCTGAGGCAGGAGGATTGCTTGAGCCCAGAAGTTTGAGACCACCCCGGGCAACACAGCGAGACATCGTCTCTAATCTACCTGCATCAACTGTGTCTGTTGAGAGGTCTGATGTCACATGGAATCTTGTTATTCTGTGAGTCATCTGTTCTTTCCGGAAGCTTTTTAAAAATTATTTTCTCTTTTTTTGTTTTTTCATTTTTAAATTTTTTAGAAAAGAGAGACAGGGTCTCACTATGTTACCCAGGCTAATCTTGAACTCCTGGGCTCAAGCAATTCTCCTGTCTCGGCCCTCCCAAAGTGCTGAGATTGTAAGTGTGAGTCACCATGCCCAGCCTGTTTTCTTTTCTTTTTTCTTTTTCTTTTTTTATTTTTTGAGACAGGACCTTGCTGTGTCACTCAGGCTGGAGTGCAGTGATGGGATCATGGCTCACTGCAGCCTCAACTTTCCAGGCTCAGGTGATCCTCCTCCCTCAGCCTCCCAAGTAGCTGGAACTGCAGGCGTGTGCCACCACACCCAGCTAATTTTTGTATTTTTTATAGAGATGGGGTTTCACCATGTTGCCCAGGCTGTCCTTTTTTTAAATTATTATTATTTAATTTTCACCAAAGAACTGTGATCACAAGGAAGCTTTTATAATTTTTGTCACCTTGGGTTTTCTTTAATTTCACTCTAATCGTCTAGGTTTGGTGCTCTTCCTGGCTTGCCAAGCTCTCTCTCTGATTTGGCCTCTTGGCCCTTCGGTCTGAGGTTGGTCATCTTTGTTCAGTTTTGAGAAATGTATCTCCATTGTTTCTTCTGAGATTCCCGCTTCTCCATCTTCTTCCTCCTCCTCCTCCTCCTCCTCCTCCTCCTTCTTCTTCTGTGACTTGCACTATCTAGATAACAGCCCTTCTAATCTATCTCCTATCACTTTACTGCCTTTTTTTTTTTTTTTTTTTTTAGACAGGGTGTCGCTGTACTGCCCAGGCTGGAGTATAGTGGCACCATCTCAGCTCACTGCAATCTCTGCCTCCCGGGTTCAAGCAATTCTCCTGCCTCAGCCTCCTGAGTAGCTGGGATCACAGGCTCCCGCCACCACGCCCACCTAATTTTCATATTTTTAGTAGAGACAGGGTTTCACTATGTTGGCCAGGCTTGTCTCAAACTCCTGACCTCAAGTGATCTGCCTGTCTCGGGCTCCCAAAGTGCTGGGATTACAGGCGTGAGCCACTGCGCCTGGCCACTTCACTGTCATTTGTGTTTCTTCTGGTTTATCTTTCCTGGGAGAGTTCCCCAGCTGACCTCGTCACTCACCTCTTCATCCTTAAGTCTCATACCTCGTATGATTCATCCCATCTGTTATTGGCTTTCTTCGATTATTGTTTTTATATCTACTCTTTCTTTTTGTTGTTTTTTGTAACTTCCTATTGCCAGTGCCTTTTCTCATGTCCTCGTGCATTTCTCTTGTGTGTATTCTCCATCTGTGTGCTCCACTCATTCAGCATCGGGGATGTCCTTGTCCCCTGAGATGTCTCCCCTGGAACCGGTGAGCTTGTGCCCTTCCCCTGGTGGGACTGGTCATTCTTTCGGGTAATATGCCAGCCTGTGGTTTCAAAGCTAAGGAAGGAGATACGCGC